CTGAATCTTGCCTACACCGTGTAGTGCTGCGCCGTGTCCCAATGTGTGCAAAAACAGCATGCAGAGGGGAGGCTGGACGTACCCGTAGTCCCGCTCCGCTGCACAAATACACAGGAGGGCTAGTGGTTGTGTAATAGCTGAAGGTTTGTCCGTCGTGAAATGTTAAGCAAGCCGCATTAAGCCAGCCACCTTTTCCCAAATGCCAGAGGTAAGGTTTCACTCTGATGTAACACTTACCCCTTTAAGTGTAGTAGCGTGCTACCTCTTGCTGGCCAGCTTTTATTTCTGGAGTTGGACCCCAGTTCTCTGGCCTGCCTTTGCCAAGTGCTGGGTGGTGACAGCTGTAATTTGCAATATTGGATTTGTCAGACTTTGCTTTTTTTTAAAAAGCAGTAGCCATTTATTCACAAATGCACTCTGTACATATACTGTGCTGTCTTTACATAAAATACATTGCTACGTGTACAGTTACCTTTTCCTTTGCCCAGCTAATGCTGTGTATTTGTTTAAAAAACATAGCATCGGTCTCACAGTAGCCTTGCACTTCCCTTTATAGTTGAAAGGACGCCTGTGTTACTCGCATACAGCAAAACCAAAATAATCCCCGCTGCATCCACCAGAACTGACTGTGAGTAGGGACGATGCAATGTCTGAGATACTGCATCCACCATAAATTAGCCCCTCTCTTCCCAAACTCATTTTCTGTACAGACAGGAGCAGAAACCTTCTCCCCCCTTCCTGGGAGGGACTCGCAGCAGCTGCTGTGCATGGCTATGGCTAAACAAACCAAAGCCTTCCCCTGTGTTCAGCCCTTTCCGCTGGTTAGCAGCTTTCCATGGGGACAGTAACAGTGTGGAACCACGTTTCCTCCGGCTGATTCTCAATTCCAGCAGGCGTGAGCAGCTGCTTTCCTTCCTAAAGCCCTCTCAGGTGAGACCAAGAGCGCTGGGCCAAGTGCAAGTGCTTGGAGCTGACCAGAAAGCCTTTTTCAGCAGAACATGCAAAAACAGCCACTCTTTACTTTTATCACAGGTAAGCTTTTACGTGGTGCTGCTAATATGAAGTGCAAGCTGTCTTGTATTACATGACGCTAGCGTTACGCTACAGCATACAGCAAGGAGGAGACTTAAAGCTGCCCTGGGTGTTACTTTTCTTTAAAAAGCAGGACCTACTGGGGAAGAGGAGTGAGAGATAACTGCACTTTAGGGCTAATATTTCCTCTGCTTCACACAGATTTGTAAACAACGTACAGAATAGCAGAGTTGTTCTAGGAGATTATAGAAATCTGCCGAGGTGACGGGTTTTTATAGTAAATAGAGGAAAAAAGTAAACTAGCCTATTACACACACAAAACTGCAGTTTACATAATACCGCTTTCAGAGATGCCTGCCCTTCTGCTCATTTGGACACATATACAAATGTAGTTATGGCTAGGTAAGCTTTCCATAGCTCTCGAGGGCTACTCCAAACCTATTTCAACCAATAATCTGGTCAAAATAATGTAAACGTTACTTAATGTCTACAGGATAACCACAAACGGCATTATGATGAGGTCAGAATGGAGGTCTTGATTGTTGTTTCTTATGTGTCCATCTACAAACAGTACAAGATTGGAGTTTCACTTTTTATTTACGCCCCAGTGATCTTTGCACCCGTTTGAGCATTTAGAGTACATGACTGTAAGTCTTTAAACATGAGCATTTTTCTAAACAGTAACA